CGGGGTCTTGCGCGTTTCTCTCCGCAGCTTCTCACACCTGCCCACCGCTCCGCCCTGCGAGTCTAGCGGCCTCACAGGCAGACAGACCCCGGGGTCACGGTTTTCCACCGCCGGACCGGACCCTCCCCTGCGACACAGCTGCGCTCCGCACCCGGAAACGGTGGTCAGCGGTGAGGGTTTTCCGCGTTACATACCAGCCATAGTAAAATACAGACTACGTCTTAATAGTCTCGTCCACTCGTGGCTAATTTTTCGTAGTGGCTGCCGTAGTCTTATTTTTCTCTTTTTTTATTCTTAATAAATGTGTAAACCAATTGCTATTGTATTCACTCCGTCCTTAATTCGCATTAAGAAAAAACTACAAATCCCAGATTGCCAAACGCTTTCTACGGTCGTGTTTGCGTGGCAGGATTTCTGGGACATGTAGTCAATTTTAAATGTCATGTGACAAATGTGATCTTGAACACGTTTTTGGTGCAATTATTTTTAAAACATACACAACTGGACAGTTTCTGAAATGCCAGGTTTTGTATTTGAAAAATTGTCCGAATATGCCGCATTAACAAAATTAAATGAAGAGTTATTTTGAATTACTGGTCATGTCACAGCGAAGAGATTGTTAATAAAGTTTGGTTTCCCTGCGCATGTACTGTTTGACCGGAAGTTACAAGCGTGTGTTGTTGGTAAGGTAGTCGTTCGAAATGTTACTTATAATGTCTACAATACTTGTTTTAAAAATGAAATTAATACATTTTTACAACTGTAAATGTATGTGAATAGTTTGGGTGCTTGTACATGCTATTTAAGGTTTGCTAAGTTTGGTAGCTTTTAAGATAAATTTGTTTCTAGATTCGGGACACCTCGTTGTTACTTTTTAAAAATAACATTTCACTGTGAGATTTGTAATTATCTAATAAGGGAGTGTTCTTACAATGTAACCTTTGTTTTAGGAATTATAAAATTACTTCATTTTAACAAATAAGATATTAACAAATCCTCTCTGTAATCAATATTAGCGCCCTTCGATCTTCACGTAACTATTTGTGACCTTTCCGGTTTAAAAATTATTCAGTGACCGAAACGTCTGCGTGTAATGTTTTAGATTAAGTGTGAGAAAGGCATCGACTTTAAACTGTTTGTCCACGGTTTTTAATTAATTACGGTACGTTACAGATGTATTAAGTTGCGTTATCCATTAATTACTCGTTAATCACTACTTGTTGGTGTTCTGGCGGGGTTGTGCAGCTCCTTCTCAAACCCCCGATAGTTCACCATTAAATCGCGGGTTTCTGAAGCTTATGAAGTTTCTTAGTGATAAGATAAGCATCTGCTGGTTCTCTGGTTCCAACGATCCTCTGTTTTGAAGTTCAGAGCCCTGAACGTTAACCGCGGATTAAAACGCTGCTGTAAATGTGGATTAAACTTTAATTCAATGTATTTATAGGCCCGATCGTCAAGTCATCGTCTGTCGTCCTCCAGTCCTGCGCCAGTGGCCAGTGGAGAGCTGTGGAGAGCTGTGGAAAGCGAGCAGAGGAACTGCCCCCAGCTCTGCCGGAGGTCCCTGTTGTGGGGAAAGTTTTCCCACAGCCGTGTTTATTGTGAGTTCACCTTGTCCGTTTTTCAGGAGGTGTCTTTTTTTTTTTCAGCAGCCATATCACCCTGCGGCTCCCAGCTGGCAGCCCCACTGGAGCCCAGCAGGTGTGAGCCTGGCCAGTACCTGGAGGGGAGACTCCTGGGAAAGCTGAGGCTGCTGCTGGAAGAGGTGTTAGTGGGACAAGTAGGCCCTAATGCATCCCTCAGATGAGAAGTAAAACCGAGGTTCCGACTGTGGTCATTAAAAATCCCATCACATTTTTCAAAAAGAAAAATGTTACCCCAGTGTCCCGGCTAAATTCCCCCCTGGCCTTTACCCATCATGGCCTCCTGATAATCCCCCTCTCTGAACTGGCTTCATCACTCTGCTCTCCTCCCCACTGAGAGCTGGTGTGTGGGGAGCGGACTGGCGCATCACCCAGGTGGGGGTACACACTGGTGGTGGTGGAGGGGATCCCCATGACCTGTAAAGCGCTTTGAGTGGAGTGTCCAGAAAAGCGCTATAGAAGTGCAATGAGTGATTATTATTTTTCCTGAGTGGGGCGCCGCGGGGTCCCATCTGTGTGGTGGGTTGTTGTTGTTGTTGTTGTTGTTGGTGGTGCTGGACTGGTGGAGCAGTGAGAGTCTGACCAGTGTCTCCCCCCACCCCACCCCCCCAGGGCCCGGTGTTTTACCCGCGGCCGAGCGAGAGAGCTTGTCCCTGAGCCCGCGCGCCCGCCAGGATGGATTTCCAGCACCGGCCGGGGGGGAAGACGGGGAGCGGGGGGGTCGCCTCGGCGTCGGAGAGCAACCGGGACCGGCGCGAGCGCCTGCGGCAGCTGGCCCTGGAGACCATCGACATCAACAAGGACCCCTACTTCATGAAGAACCACCTGGGCTCCTACGAGTGCAAACTGTGCCTGACGCTGCACAACAACGAGGTGAGCGGGCGACCTGCGAGCAGAGCGCCCCCCGCTGTCCCGGCCTGGGGTTAACGCCGCTGCCTCGCTGTGCTTTGTTTTTCAGGGTAGCTACCTGGCGCACACGCAAGGGAAGAAGCATCAGACCAACCTGTGAGTGGAGCTCATGTTCTTTGGTTGTGTGTGTGTGGAGCTGTCAAAGCGTCCGTCTCCTTCAGCCCGTCTCTTTCACTCTGACCCGTCTCGGCTGCTGTCTGCCTGCGTCTGTACGTCTGCGTGCCTGTGTCCTGCAGACCCTGCTCTGACCTGTCTGTCTCTCTGACCTAGTGTTAGTGTGAGTGTCGGCTTGGCTCGCTGTCTGTTTACTTGCCTGTGCGTCTCTCTGTCTCTGCCTTTTTGTCTGAGTGATCATGTCTCCCTGTCTATCTGTGGGTGACCCTGTCTCTCTGGCCCTGCCTGTGGGTGACCCTGTCTCTCTGGCCCTGCCTGTGGGTGACCCTGTCTCTCTGGCCCTGCCTGTGTGGTGACCCTGTCTCTCTGACTTTGCCTGTGTGGTGACCCTGTCTCTCTGACTTTGCCTGTGTGGTGACCCTGTCTCTCTGGCACTGCCTGTGGGTGACCCTGTCTCTCTGGCTGTGGGTGACCCTGTCTCTCTGGCCCTGCCTGTATCTGCCTGTGGGTGACCCTGTCTCTCTGGCCCTGCCTCTCGATCTCAGTGCGAGACGAGCAGCCAAGGAGGCGAAGGAGGCCCCAGCCCAGCCCGCGCCGGAGAAGGTGAAGGTAGAGGTGAAGAAGTTTGTGAAGATCGGGAGGCCGGGATACAAAGGTGAGGCATAGCCCAGCATCCCCTGCCTCCGGGTCTGGTGACTCCCGACCCAGTGGATCTGTCCGTGCAGGCGAAGCAAATGCAGTTTGCCAAAGGAGGGGGTCCCCATAATTCTCCTGAAGATGTGCTCCATTAACTGTACCCCAACCCTGCCCTCCAACTATAGGAGCTAATGAGAAGAAAGTTTCAAACTGGAATTTCCCCTTACTGAGTGGGGTGTTACTGCTTGTCATCAGAGTTTTTGGGTTGGGGGTACAGCTGGTGTGAGAAGTCAGGCCTCTTGAGATCCCCAAAAATGTTTTACTAATCCCTTACTTTAAAATGATGACCAGAAATATTGGTAGAGATGTCAAATAAGCCTTATAATGAATAGCAAAATAAAGCCCAACAGAAAAGATTAATTTTCAGCCTTCTCCTTCTGCTGATGCTTTGCATTTTGGTAAGAGATTCAATGCTGTCACTCTAGAAAAGGGTACAAAACAATTCTTCTTCTTTTTTTGCAATAAATTCTTAATGTAAAAATGACATAGCTCTAAATATTTCACTGTCAAGATTTAAGAAGAGTGAGAATACCTTCTGTAAGGCTTAGAGGATGAATATTAGCACAGAATCTGCATGTTGCATACCACTGAGTCTCTAAAATGCTTGTTTTCTTATGTTTTTAATTCATAATGGAAACTAAATATTCTTTCCCTACAGTGACAAAACAGAGGGACCCAGAGACTGGTCAACAGAGTCTCCTTTTCCAGGTAGGATTGAACAGACCAACTCTCAGCTCTGTTTATCCACCTGCATCCCTCAGAGCAGGAATGGTATATAGTGTACTCTCCAGAGTCTCTGCTGACCCCTCAGTGCAGGAGTGGTACAC